ATTCCCTGATGTTTCCCTGTTACCCTTTTGTTACCTAAGTATGTTGTTCTGGGCCTACCCCTGCCTCGTTTGCCTTGAATTTTGCAAATAAATAAATATACAAATAAATATACCGGCTACGAAGTCTGTTAGTGCAGAAAAAAACTAAAACCAAATCTACCAAGTAAACCAACAGATAGATCAATCAGTCAATTGATGGATCGATCTGTAGAAATGTAACAACCTATCAGTACATGAATTAATAAAGTCTAAAGAAAAGGATGAAAAAATCGAGTAAAAAGGTGCAATAGAGAACTTTGTCCAATGAATACATTTTAAAATCTACAAAAGAGTAACACAAATAATTCAGTCGAGGCATATTAGTTGATTCACTACGTACCGTAACTTTTTTCTCAAAGGGCGACTGTAGAGCAGCTAAAATTTTGTCTCAAAGTCGACTGGCGAGGCCGAAGCAGTATGCCAACTACATTGTCTAGATCGTGTCGATTTTTTTTTCTTTTTCTTTTTGTGGGGGTGGGGATGGGAAGGATGTGAAACTTTCCCAAAATAACTAACAGTTGACCCTCAAATAAACTTTTGGTGGTGAAAAGAAAATGTCACCTTTAAAAAAAAATCTTCCCATTTTTATCTACACTTAAGACAAGGACTCAACATTATTTTCTGACAGAAAGTTGGTACTTTATAATGCCCATTGTTTTATTATTAAAAACGTCGTCAAATATTAGCCGATATTCAGGTCAGATTTTTGTCAACTGAACTGTTCACTAGAGGTTTATTGCTGATGACGATATATTAAATACCAAAAAAAACATGTACCAACATTCAAAAACACCTTGCCGATTTGAAGGCGCTTAAATAGACAAGTGGGATGCACTGCTGTTTTGTCGCGACATAACCTCATTCCTTCACGTTTGTTATCGCGCCTGCTCGTAACTTTAAATCGTCTCCCGTCAAGCCGTCACGTCGCGGAACTTCGTACTACGTACGAGGACAAACACACGATGGGCTTGGCTTAGGCCTAGCGATGACGTCAGTCCCATAGACAAATCCATCGTCAGCCCCAAGGAGATTAAAAGTAAGTTAGTTCTAAACTCCTTGGTCAGCCCTCAGAGCGATTAATACATCCAGATTGGCCTCTTTGTAGCTTACAAAATTAAGAATGAGACTGTCTTGAGCAGCACAGACACATGTATTATTTTATCAGCAAAACGTGTATTTATCATTCAGCCTTTCTCTAACTACTATCAGAACATTTATTGTCAGCATGGCACTAATCTTTTTTGTTTATTGACTTTTTAACCACCCATAGTTCTTGTTTGACATTTACTTATCGTTTTCTCCACACTAATAACTTACCTGGCCCTTAGGAGTCTGGCCGGCGAAGCGCTTTTCCCTTTCGTCAACCCGCAGCCACCTCCCAATCGTCAGCCACCCCCAACCTTTGACACGGGTCAAACTTCCATCTATTTATAGGTAGTTACCGGAACATGTATAGGTGAAGTGATGTGCCGTGATAGCCGCGATATATTATTTATTGAGATTGTTTTGGTCTCTCTTTACTCATCACCACGAGAATTTCTTGAAGTTTTTCCCTGGACTCTGCCTTTGCTAAAATCTCGAATCTAGATCTAGATCTAGAGTTGTAATCTAGTGGCAGGTTGCAGATTTCTGTTGTTATCCAGTACATTCCAGAGATTAAATAAATTGGACTAGACTCTAGTAGTAGACTCTTCTTCTTCTACTTCTAAACCTTCGAGATTACAAAGGCCAAGCCTAGGCTTGTAAGGATTCGTTTTGTTAAAAGTGTTGTTTAACACAAAGTCTATGAAGTTAGCAAACCTAACACATTGTTTTCTAACGAAATGATGCTTAAATTGACTTTTATATTGTCAATAAGAGATCAAGTTTAATCACCTAATCATTTAAGTAAGAAAGTGGCTATTGCTATCCTCGCCCGGGGTGAGAATAAAAACCCTACGATTGACCTCTCACCCCGGGTGAGACTTGCCAGCGTTGGCTATTCTCACCCAGTGTGAAACAAGACCTGTTTTTCCTAATTTCGAAATACTTTCTATCGGTGTGGATGATCAAACTGACAAAGGCAAAGAAAAAAATGACGTTATAGCACAAAAGTAAGCTAATTTGATCGTCTACAAAGATGCTATGGCTCTTTCACTTTTCGAATCGACCGAACTACGCGGGTCACCATTTTGTTTTGCCCGAAAGTTCTCGCAAGATCTGCTCCTCCCCCTTCTCTCTCTCTCTCTCTCTCTCTCTCTCTCTCTCTCTCTCTCTCTCTCTCTCTCTCTCTGTCGGCAATTTATTAAATCTGCAACCTGCAATTAGATTACAACTAGATCTAGATTCGAGACTTTAGTAAAGGCAGAGTCAAGGGGAAAACATCAATTAAATTCGTGTGGTGCAGATGAGTAAAGAGAGACCAAAACAATCTCTCTATTGCGACTATCATTGCACATCACTTCGCCTAATACATGTTCCGGTAGATTTAACTACCTATAAATAGATGGAAGTTTGACCCGTGTCAAAGGTTGGGGGTGGCTGACGATTCGGAGGTGGCTGCGGGTTGACGAAAGGGAAAAGCGCGCCGGCGAAAGAAGGAATCGTCTAGTGAAGATATATAAGGAGAATTTTAAAGAGGAGCGATAGGCACTCGGCTGTCAGAGTCTGGGCCGAAAATCCCCTCCTTTCCCTCCCATTTTCAACCCTCACCCCAGCTAGACACCAAGTTCTATAATTAGCATTTAACACACTTCCCCACTTTGTTACAACACAGTGTTCAGTGTTCAATTCTGAGAACTGAGAAGTGCGATGAAGTACATTTGATGATATAATGATCGGAAACTTGTGTGCTTTGTCCAGCTTTGTATAGCATCTGATTGTAGACTTGATCTGCTTGGGACAGCGTCACTGGTACAGTAGCAATTGACTTTTTGTCATCATACAGGGCAGTTCTTATTACATATATTTAATGGGTCCAGTGCACGTCGATATTTTGTGTCGGGGTGTAGAAAGTACGAGTAAAGTACTGTACTGGAGGCCAGGACCAGCGGTTTATTGCTTCTCACTTTCAGTTTGTTTTCTAGCATAGACTCAAGTAGTGTTTCTTTTTCTGTGCCGATCAAGTGAGTTTCTATTGATCCCAGTAACTTCCATCTTACATTATTCATAATATTGTTTCTTGACGCTACCGCATACTTTAACTCTTTCACATTATATTTCAATGTTTACTGTGGTGTGTGTTTGTGTGAGTGGGGGAGGGTGTGGGGATGGCGAAAGTAGGGGTAAAAAATAAGAAGAGAGAGAGAGAGAGAGAGAGAGAGAGAGAGCGAGAGCATGTGTGTGTGTGCGTGTGTGTGTGTGTGTGTGTGTGTGTGTGTGTGTGTTTGTGTGTGTGTGTGTGTGTGTGTGTGTGTGTGTGTGTGTGTGTGTGTGTTGTGAAGGAAGGGGGTGGGGGAGGGAAAAATAGTCGACGTGAATGACCGCGGTCAGTTCTATAAACCACGAGACGCCACTGACTATATACTGACGAGCAAAAGTGATTGCTGCAGTTGTGGGATTGTCATTGGGGGTGGCCAAAGTGTGCGAATTTCCTTTTCCTTCTTGTTCCAGAGGTGCTTTATGGATTCCCATACCATAATGCTACGTTTGTCAGCAACAGCACTGACACACTGAGGTAAATAACGTTCATGACGTCTCCGGCAGACTTTCTGCCTTCCATCGTGGTGATCCAAAAGAAATCTGGACTCGTCAGAAAACATCACTCTGTTCCACTGGTGGTTTAGCCATCGCCGATGCAGACGTGTCAAGTTGAGTCTGGCATGACGATGTCATTGGAGGAGACGAGTGCGTCGAGGTGGGTGTCGGGCAACGATTCAGTGGGCTTTCAAACGTCGACAAACGGTGAAGCGGCTGATTGATTTACGCCCAGCCCAATCTCTGACAGTTTTAGAAGCTGTTTGAAACCAATCCTGCAAGTCTGGAACTCTGATCCGATTGTCTTCAACCGCAGTAGAGACACGAGGACGACCAAACCTTGGAGTGTCACTAACCAAACCACTTGCTTGGAAGTGTATCCTTAGCTTCTGGATAGTATCTCTCTTCACTTTGAAAGCTCTACTAGCTACAGCAGAAACCGTCGCATGAGCTCTCAGCATGCCAAGAGCTTCCTGACGTTGCGCTTCACAAAGACGAGGCATCGTATAAAACAAAATTGAAAAGAAAAAACCCAACAGTTTTGACGGTCTTTGCGCCGACACACGTTGAAGTGTGTAACGAAAAAAGAATAAAAGTAAAGGCATTGTAAACTTTCAAGAAAAAACGAGAAAACACGTTTTTGGCCAAACGTGTTGTAAACACTTTTTATAACAACAAAATAAACAAATGTTGTTCTGACCGACTTTCTAAAGTGACACAAGCTCAGCATGTCAATCGCCAAGTCAAAATTCGCGAGGCTACTCATACAGCACCGATTTGAAAACTGCCCACTTTCTTTTGCTCGCCAGTATATTATTATTGTCAATTATTAGTAGCTCCAGCCCAGATATTCTTCACAGCTGGAAAGAAGAAGAAATGGGTTGGAAAAAAAAGCAAGTGTTTTGTCTCTCAATGAGTGATACTATCGTATCCATACGGCGTGGGGAACTCTGTGCCCCCACTTTCCAAAGAGGAAATTACTCGTTAATCCGATCCGTACGTTTTGCATAGCAGTCTGTCAAAATGATTTTTTGAGAAATTCTGAAAGTTTCCAAGAGATCTTCGCTCTAGAAGTATTCTCAAATATGAAAAATACAACCCCTGGGGTACAAAATGACCCCAGGCACACGGAGAGGTTTAACCCAGATCTTTCGCCTATCACCACCCCGCCTCTTTCTTCCCAATAGCCCCCTTTTTTCAATAAAATGAATTTAAAAACAAAACAAAAACTATACAAATTTATAAAGCAATGAAAACTCATGTCTTGCGCCCCAATACTTCGACAGGGCCCTTCAATGACATTCGAGGAGAAAGTTCTGGAAGCAAAACAAAGAATTCAGTTCCGGATGAAGGTGAGAGGTCATCATCAATATTATCTTGACCATCAATGGTCTTTACTTCTTTCTCCCCCCCCCCCCCCCTCCGTCTTTATTTCACGTCTCTTTCTCTCTCCCTTTCTTTCTCTCGCTCTCTCTCTCTTGCTCTCTCTCTCTCTCTCTCTCTCTCTCTCTCTCTCTCTCTCGCTCTCTCTCTCACGCTCTCTCTTTGTCGCTCTCTCTCATGCTCTCTCTTTGTCGCTCTCTCTCTCACACGCTCTCTCTCTCTCTGTCTCTCTCTCTGTCTCTCTCTCCCATTTGATTCTATCTATTTATCTATCCATCTATCTATCCATCTATCTATCCATCTATCTATCTATCTGTCTATTTATCTATCTATCTATCTATCTATCCGAATGAAGGTGAGGGCTCATTATCAAGATCATCCTAACCATCTTTACTTTTTCTTCTTTTTTCCCCTCTGTCTCTATTATACGTCTCTCTCTCTCTCTCTCTCTCTCTCTCTCTCTCTCTCTCTCTCTCTCTCTCTCTCTCTCTCTCTCGCTCTCATTTAAGACACAACATGCATTAACAGTAAGAATTCCAACATGTTTGTTATATATTAGAAGTTACCTATCATTTTTTGTTTTGTTTTTTAACTTTTCATAAGGATTTTTAAAAAATTTCAAACGTTTTCTTTTTGAAGGTTCACTCTTTGACCCCATTTTTTCCGACTCCTCCGAATTATACCAATAGATAACAGGGAGAAACAGACTACTACTAGTAACCTTGTAGGTTATCTCATGAGGTACATGCGCAGGAGTCTTTTTTTTTTTTTTTTAACTCGTTACTAAAAAAACATCAACTATAGTACGGTCAAAAATTCGTGGTGCAACTTATCCTCAAATCTCTTTAACGGGTGAATCAATGCCAACCTACTTTGCACTTTGCACAGCAGTTTGTATCAATTTGTCTTAACTAACTCATATTTTTTCAGAACAATAGGCGCCAGATTTAAAAAAAAGAACTTTTCTTCATAAATTTGTATAAAATATAGAAATCTCGGTCACACGTAAAATGGGATTGTTCACAGCACTTCCCGCTTCTCACACACATTTTGATTAAGCTTAATATGGCCTATGTCACAGCTCATCAATGCCATTTTTAGTGGCTAAACTTGTTACAAGAAAATTATTTTTATAGTGAACACATTTTTTGCACTTATGGTTCTCAAAACAAGCGTTCAATTTATAAGCATAATATCCCGATTAGAAAAACATAACGAACTTGCTGTTAAAAGCAATATTGACCCAGCTGTAAACATTTAAAAATCTGTAGCAACCACCCACTTGGATTTTTTGTTATTAGTAGAATCTATTTATTAAGGAATTTTCTAGAATCTAGATAGCAGGTGTTTACAAAAATGTTGATCTGTTATGATAAATTAATGCTAGTCATTGTGCCAAAATTGGAGAACCTATAGTTGATGAGATATTAATTTTGACAATAAGTTGCGCCACGAATTTTTAACCGCACTATAGGTCTAGCTGGGATCTCAGTAAGATTCATGCATCAAACACACCGCGTTTGGTTTTTAAAAAACTACAAAACGCATTTCCCCACCAGAAGCATACTACACTATGCACTTGGCACACTTTGCATCTTTGGTTTTTCTTCTTAATTTTGGAATATAAGATACTTTCTGTGTCACTCTTCTCTTTTGCCTTTGTTTTTATTTATTGTTTTGGTTGGTTGGTTTGATGGGGAGTTGTTTTGGGTTGTTCTTGGTTTTGTTTGTTTTCTTTTTTGTTGTTGTTGTTGCTTTTTTTTTCTTTTTAGGTATTTTAATTTTACCTGTAGATTAGACTCAACGTTTGACATATCACATTGTTTTCCTCTCTTTGGTAGAAGACGCGTGGCCCTCAAAATATATGCGAGGTACCAGGTGTCAAAGACATTTGCAACTGGTTGAGAAAGTGAGTGAAACTAAGTAAAATTGACGTGACGAATACTTAGAATGTTCCCTCCTCAAGGGCAGGTTAACGCTAAATTAATAATTATGTTAAATAGTGTCCGTGTTGTTCTCTTCAGTTGGTTTTGACTTAACTTTCATAACAAACGCCTTTCAATTCCGTTACCCTTTAGTTATTTATTTCTGCCTCTCCGCGCTCCGCCCCCCCTCTAACTAACTTTCTCTTTCCCAATCTCTTCCC